TAGGAAGACGGTGTGAGCCTCGTGCTGGGTGGTTTACAGTTACGTATAACAGTCAGAAAGAGATAGTTGTTAACTTCTAGCTGTTGTCTTATGTAACCAACGCGTGGTCACGTACCGATTTTGCACGTGCATACAAATACATGTGCCTATATACAAGGGTGGAGGGGAGGCGCAGTGGCTAGCACATGGTGCGATATAAACCAGTCAAACTGAGTTTGATTCTGGGCCACGGATAACATCAGTAGCGAGTGGTATCTGAACCGATTCTGGGCCACTCCTCGTCTCTACCAACCCGCACGAACAACCGGCGTGGTGAAGTATGGTTAAACAACCTCCTTCACCGACACCGCGTGGCTTTCATCCAGCGGTGGATTGGTAAAGAGATGAAAATACGTATGTGGGTATAAATACATATAAATACAAAGATCCCCCGTATAGCCTTAACCGGCTGTAGGGGCAAGTGCTGTTAGCGAGCACCTATGAAGGCCGGCACGGCACACGAGGAGGTGGGTGGCCAACACCACGCCCGGCCGCCTTTGTCTCCCTAGTGGCGATGTTTACACATCTCACCAGGTTCTCATTTGAGGCTGAGTTGGCCTAGGGGAGGCCCAGGACCGGTTCAGATAATCGTCACTGGTGATGGCCGTGAGCGGAAATCGAACCCGGGTCGCCAGGTTCGTAGCGCAGTGCGCTAACCACTACACCACCGCTCCCCATATAAATATACATACACACACATACACTCACACGTGTAGATTAAAGTTCCCATTCTGGTGCAAATAACGGCGAATACACGGGCGGAATGACGTCGTAGACGATGCGAACTAACATTCGCGTCCACAAATGTATGTTGAACTTCTTTCGCACCGTACGTAGCCAAGCCAGCTAATCAGAGGTTGCGGGTGAATGGACGACAAGCTAAACACGAAAAAAAACTGTTTTAAAGATGTTTTTTCCCTTCAAAAATGTAATCGACTATCCCGGCCCATTATCTACACATCGAGTAACAGAGAATAGAGAATAAGAATCAAGAAGATGAATCCCTGCAGTCACGAAAGCTTAAAATCGAAAAATACGCGCGTCTTCTTCACGTTTCGCGCACCGTAGCCTTGTTCCAAACCCTCCCAGCTTTGGTTCCTCCACCGCGCTCGATCAAATATAGGCACACGAACGCCCACCTCCGACACGTCGTATCAGCACCCCAAACTGTTCGTAGAGGCACTCACCGCGCGCGTGACACTCGATTTGAGAAGCGAATCCCCATCTTAAGTTACGATCATCGAAGCTGTCAATCCGGACCCAAAGTTGACCCAAGCGGGACATCGCCAAACGGGGAACGGCGCCGGTCACGTTCACGCCGTCGCACGCGGACGCACACAAGCGCAACGCTGCAAGTATTACACGAAAAAGGACCGTTGCCCAAAACGTCGACAGTCGTTGGGCATTTGTTGTCCCTCTGAAGGCAGCGTGTTGTTGTCAAATGCTCTGTTGCGCGTGCGGTGCGTTGCTATTCGTGCGTATGCACCGGCTGCTGACTCGGTGTTACACCGACGTTTGTCCCCGTCCTCAATGGGTCAGTCGACAGCCGCTTCGCCCCCTGTCTCACATCCGTCCGTCCCTTCTCAAGAAAACTACAAGCACCGTTTTTGTTTTGAGTTTTACACACATCTCATCAGCCACGCAACTTGCTGCTTTGTGTGTGTGTGTCTAAACTAGATTCGAAGCTTTCGTGTGTCTCTCTGTTTGTCTCTGTGTGAGTCTCTCTCTGCGTGTGTGTCTCTCTCTCTGTGTGTCTCTGTGTGAGTCTCTCTCTCTCTGCGTGTGTGTCTCTCTCTCTCTGTTTGTCTCTGTGTGAGTCTCTCTCTCTGCGTGTGTGTCTGTCTGTGTGTCTCCGTGGCTATGTTTTGTCTCTCTCTCTCAAATGTAGCAATCTTTGGAAGAACGTCATCAACCAGGTTGGGGCGTTGACTGTTGTGTTGGCCGACTGTTGTATTGCATTACATTTCCAAGTTTACTATGTTTGTTTTCTCATTCATTTGTACCTGATGTTGGTTGCTTGTGTCGCAATCGAAACGTCGTATTCTATTACTACTATTATTAAATTTATTTCTGTGTGTGTCTAGTTTGACCTCCTTTCACCCGCACCCCCGATCAGCGCGGTTTGCTACGTACGGGGCGCAAGAAGTTCAACATACATACAAGCATTACGTGCACAGCTTATGTGTGACTTAGTTCGGTTTGCAGCAGCATTGGTCGTCGTACAAGCGAGGCCGTGTTCCGGTTTCGACATTCAGCTACTCGTCAGCAGTCAGACTCTTTTAACTGTCCCAATGCCGCTGAAATGCCAGATGTTTGCAAGGCAAGGGAAGGACCTTCCCTATTCGACATGGGTCCGCGTTCAATACAAGGATGGGTCATTCTTCACTGAAGTAAGTGGCTCATTAAGCATTTGAATATGTAACAACGTCTCTTGGCAAAAAAAAAAAAATCTTGGAGGGGGCGGCCGGGGGGAGAGGGAGGGATAGGGGGCTTGTTCCTCTTTTATCCAATGTAAGTCAATAGAGCAGCAGTGTTTTCAGCCAGACGGTCAGTGCGGGCAATAGAATCAAAGCACTCGTGTGAATGGGTCTGTAACTCGGTTTAGACTCGAGAGCGTCAATTGAGGGTCTATGTAAGTGCGTGTGTGCGTCAGTGCGCGAATGTGTGTGTGTGTGTATGCACGTGCTTGCCTTCATAGGTGCCCGCTTATGAGCATTGGCCCCAACAGTTTGTTCAGGCTATGGTGGGGGGATGGTTTGTCTTTTGTATATGCACGCGTGTGCGTGTGTATGTGAGTGTTTATGCGTAGTGCAGTGGTTAGCGCGTTGCACTACGAACCTGCGTTCGATTCCCGCTCACGGCAAACACCAGTGACGATTATCTGAACCGGTCCTGGGCCTCCCCTAGGTCGACTCAGCCTCAAATGAGTACCCTGGTGCGGTATGTAAACATCGCCGATAGGGAGACAAAGGCGGTCGGGCGTGGCGCTGGCCATCCACCCCCTCGTGTACCGTTCCGGCCTTCATAGGTGCTCGCTAACAGCACTTGCCCCTACAGTCTGTTAAGGCTATATGGGGGATCTTTGTCTTTGTTTATGCGTGTATGTACGTACGTCTTTGTACGGGTGTCCTCAGGGAGCGGTAGTGTAGGGGTTAGCGCGCTGCGCTACGAACCCACCGACACGACTTCGATATCCGCACACGGGGACACACAAGTTAGGATTATGTGAACCGGTCCTGGCCCTCGCGTAGGTCGACTCGGCCTCAAACGAGTACCTGGTGTGGTATGTAACGATCGCCAATGGGGAGACAAAGGCGGTCGGGCGTGGTGCTTGTCACCCACCCCCTCGTGTACCGTTCCAGGCACCTTTATAGGTGCTCGCTCGCAGCACTTGCCCCAAAAGTCTATTAAGGCAATACTTGGTATATTTGTCTTTGTATCTATTATATGCGCATGTACCTGCATGTCCATAAATGTTGTGCATATGTGTACTCGTGTGGAGATGTGGACACGTGTGTGCCTGTATATATGCGTGTGTGTTTGTGTGTACAGTTTACCCGAACACGCGTGTATGTGTGTGTATACGTGGACACGCTTTTTTACGTGTATTGGGTATGCGTGTGTGTTGTGTAATGCACACACGCGCGTGTGTGTGTGTTGTGTAATGCACACACGCACGTGTGTGTGTGTTGTGTAATGCACACACACACACGTGTGTGTGTTGTGTGTAATACGCGTGTGAGCAGCAAAAGCATCACTGGACATCACAAGAAGACATCTGCGTGACAAACCCCTCCAAGTTTCTTTCCCCGCTCCGTTTGACCCGAATGAGTCTCTCTGACCGCACCCGCTGATGAAACGGACCGACTTCCAATAAACGCCGTCGTACACTCGCAAAGGGTAAATACAATGTTTAATAAATGTATATACAGTTATACACACATGCTTGCGTGCTTCGCTAATGGAGCTTTGACGGGAGGAGAGATTCCCCCTCTCCCCTCTCTCGCTCTCCTTTTCAAAAAGAGTTCAGTCAAGCGAAGAATGCGCAGTAAGAAGACGAAGAAGAGTCCACGTTGCTTCTCCCCCCCTCCACCCCCACTTACACTTAGACCCATACACACATTCACACGCCAAACACTCACACACACACGCTCAAAGTCACTAATCACACACACACACTCACACACACTCACACACAGCCTTTTAACAGACTGTTGAGGCGAGGCGCTGTTAGACAGCAAAGGGTGGATGCTCAATACCACTCCCGGCCGCCTTTGTCTCTCCAGTTCTGACAAGTACCGCCCCAGGTACTCATTTAAAGCCGAGGCGACCCACAGGATGCCCAGGACCGGTTCAGCTATGATTCACTGTCATCAGTTGTGAGCGGGAAGCGAATTCCGAGTCGCCGGGTTCGTAGCGTAGCACAGCGCGCTAACCGCCACACCACCGCTCCCCACTCACGTGCACACACTCACATCCACACACCCTTGTTGCTCTCACACACACACACCGCTGGCAAACACACTCTATGATCACACTCGTCCGAGGCTAACTCCGTGTGAAATCACGAGTCAACCCACTGCCACCACCAAACCACGTGTAATGCGCGTACACAACTCGACGCCAGCTATTGCAACGCGGTTTGTCGTGTTCCACTGACAACAATTTGCACCGTCCCTTGTCTTATTTTTCACGAGCTTCTCATACCCTGGTGTAGTATACATCGAAGTGTATTCTCCGGGTCAAACTGCCGCGAGGCAACACGCGGCGCAAAAGGCAAATAGATATGTACACGTAGCGGTGACGCATGTAAAGCCATTGCAGCGTTGTAGGAATTGGATTGCGCGCAAGGCAACCGATGGGTTTCGCCCTCGTTGCGTTTCTGAATGTCTTGAGAAGGGGTAGTGTGCGCGTGCAGTATACGAAGAGGCAACACGCAATCTCTCTCACGCTGACACACACGCACGCAGACGAATGCGCAAATGCTATTGGACACACGCACGCATACGCACGCGAACGCACACAAAACGTACACCCTCTCTTTCACTTTCACAGAAAAACAAAAGGCCACACACACACAAGATCACACACGTGCTCTAGTCCTAACACAACCACACAGACACACACATTCTCTCTTACACGCACACTGCCCCACTCACACAGACATACTGCCTATCTCACGCACACTCACAAAAACATCATTCCCTCTCTTAGACACACACACACACACCCCTCCACTCACACACACACATACTCGATCCCTCTGTCACACACACATACTCCCTCTCACACACAAAGATCCCCCGTATAGCCTTAACAGACTGTTGGGGCAAGTGCTGTTAGCGAGCACCTATGAAGGCCGCAACGGTACACGAGGGGATGGGTGGCCAGCACCACGCCCGACCGCCTTTGTCTCCCCAGTGGCGATGTTTACACATCGCACCGGGTACTCATTTGAGTCTGAGTCAACCTAGGGGAGGCCCAGTACCGGTTCAGATAATCGTCACTGGTGTTGGCCGTGAGCGGGAATCGAACCCATGTCGCCGGGTTCATAGCGCAGCGCGCTAACCGTTACACTACCGCTCCCCATTCACACACAAACACACTGTCTCACACACACACATACCCCTACCCTCACACATACTCTGTCCCTGTTTCACACACACATACTCCCTCTCACTCACACAACAGTCGCCACTCAGTGGCGGTGACGTCACCACGGCGCTTGTGCCAGGCCAGGTTCACGCTCCCTCTCTCACACACTCACTCTCACACACACTCCCTCTCTCACACACAGACTCTATCACACACTAACACACACACTCTCTCACACTCCCTATCTCACTGTCTGACACATTCTCTCCCACACTCCCTTTCTCACACACACTCTCACACACTCTCTCGCTCACACACACTCCCTCTCACACATACTCCCTTTCTCTCACACTTACAAACTCGCTCCCTTTCACATACACACACGCATATCCTCCCTCTCACACTCTCCCTCTCACACATACACTCCCTTACTCACACACACATTCTCCCTCACACACTCCCTTTCTCACACACACACACTCTCTGTCTCACACTCCTTCTCTCACACACTCTCACTCACACTCCTTCACACACACACACACATTCTCCCACACACACACACACGGTAGACGCGTCTCATCTCCCCTTTGCCGATGCCACGTGAAGGAACATCCAAAGAGAATTCACCGCCTCTCCCCCCATTCATTGTGAGCTGCTGCTGGTAGGAGTGGTGGGTGGTGGGTGGTGGTGGTGACCGAAACTATCCCAGCACGGCGACATGCTGTCCCCTTGCTCAGCCACTCCGTGCCACCAGATCAACCGCGAATTCCTCCTCCTCCTGCTGCTGCTCTCAGCAATCACATCACGGGTGGGCCTTGTGTAGGGGGGGGCGCATCTCAATCACCTCCCTCCTGCCCCTTCATCCCTGCGTTTTGTCGCCACCCGGGTGCGCTGACATCGCTCGTGCGCTTTTTCTCTGTTTGTACTTCGACGCTGGCCCGAGTCTTCGTGCAGCGTTCCCGACTCAGACGTCGTTCTAACACCCCCACCCCACCACACCACACACTCCTCGGCTTCATCGTAGCAAAAAGGGCTGGAGGGAGGTTGGCGCGGGGGGGGGCTACCAGTAGCAAAGAAATAATAATAGTTTGTGTGGTTTTATTTATATAGCATATATTTATAGTAATACAAATAAAATAAAAAATATACTGAACGTCTCTCTTTTTTTCTCCGCGTCCGCCTGTATGCGTGCGCGATGAGTGTGTCTGTGTGTGTGTCTGTGTGTGTGTCGCTCAGAGGTGCTCGCTAACAGCACTCGCCCCAACCAACAGCCCGTTCAGGCTCTGCGAGTATCTTTGTCTTTGTTGTCTTCGTGGGTCGTCTGTCCGACTGTCCGCGCAGCGCGACTGGGCCGCGTGCATGCGGTCGTCAGGGCACGGGCACGGTAGTGGATGTGCAGGGCTTGGCGGGCGACAAGGGTGGACGGACAAGAGGTGGAGCGCTAATCGTCCACGTCGATCTCGATGTCGTCGTCGTCGTCATCGTCGTCGTCGTCGCCGCTGAAGTCGTCCCGGCTATGCTCGGAGCGCGGGGAGGGCGAGGTGCACGTCTCCCCGCGTGAGTCGTTCCTGTCGAGGGCACGCACGCCGGGCGACATCGCCTCGACGAGGGACGTCGGCAGGGCGCCCTCCCCCACCAGGGCGATCGGGTCGATCTTCTTGGTCGACTCCACGTCGGCCTTCATCTCCTCCAGATCCCGCTTGAGCTTGGCGCGCCTGTTCTGGAACCAGGTGATCACCTGCGCGTTGGTGAGGCCCAGCTGCTGGGCGATCTGGTCGCGATCGGCCGGCGAGAGGTACTTCTGGTAGAGGAAGCGCTTCTCGAGTTCGTAGATCTGCGCGTTCGTGAAGGCCGTGCGCGACTTGCGGCGCTTCTTGGGCGCAGTTCGAGGCCCGAAAATAGCGAGTCCATCTCGACCTGTGGAGGGGGTCCGCGGTGCGTGCGCGTAAGGGAGCGCACACGCACGGACACACACGCAAGCACGCACGCACACACACACACACGCACATACACACACACGCACGCACACGCACACACGCACACACACGCACACACGCACACACACGCAAGCACGCATGCACACACACACACGCACATACACACACGCACGCACACGCACGCACACACACGCACGCACACACACACGCGTACACACGCACACGCACGGACGCACAAACAGTGAGCGGGTGCTTTGTTGATTGATACGTGAAGACGCATCCGAGAAGAATTGAGAAAGAGGTGGTGCGTGAAGGAATGCAAGATGTGTCGTGCTGCGTTCGAATGCGGTCGTGTGTGCGTGCACGCTTGATACATACGGCATCATCCATACACGGGCATTCACAACCGTTGGCATGTACACGTACACGAATATATACTATCGCAACGTTGTACAACAATATACAATCACGCGCGCAACATGATATATACACCTATGTGTTACATGCAAATCCATGCTTACATAAACGTATACATACGTGTACAGTTTACGTAATTATACACATCTACAATGGGATGCATACACACGCATATTCTGACATAGTCACGGACAAACAATGAAAGAGTTATATAACTGTATACATAGGCAGATAAAAGGTAGATACCAAACAAATATCCACATTAGTATATGATACACATATTGCACACGGTAACATATACATTCATGTGGGGGTAGCTAAATCCAATACTCTCTTCAACCCATCACAACGCATACGTTGGGGAACGTGAATGGAAGCTCCCTTTAAATTCGCAGTTCTTTGTCAATCCACTGCTGGATGAAGGCCTCCCACTGCCGCGTTACTCACGTGGGTTGTTTGACCATACTTCCCCACGATCGTCAATTTGCGGGTTGTTGAGACGGAGTAGAGTTCTGGGCGGGAGACGCCACTGATGTTTCTCCGTGGGGGGGGAATCGAACTCAGGTTCGACAGCCAGGTTCACAAGCACATTAGCGCTAACCACTGCGCCACCGCTCCGTCCTATACAATGAATACAAAACCCGCCCTTCAATCACAGCGGGGAGAGAACGAGAGAACGCTCGTCTGTGTACAGTACATGCCCGTGACATTGTGTCTTTTAAACACAACGCAGTCGGATAGCTGTGTCTTCAATACGAATCGAAGTTACATACAAAAGACAAAGATCCACCGTGTAGCCTTAACATACTGTCGGGGCAAGTGCTGTTAGCGAGCACCTATGAAGTTACATACCACACGTATACAAATACAAAGACCCCCCCCCCCCCGTATAGCCTCAACAGACTGTTGGGACAAGTGCTGTTAGCGAGCACCAATGAAGTTACATACCACACACAGACAAATACAAAGACCCCACCGTACAGCCTTAAACAGACTGTTGGGACAAGTGCTGTTAGCGAGCACCTATGAAGTTACATATCACACACAGACAAATACAAATACCCCCCGTATAGCCTCAACAGACTGTTGGGGCAAGTGCTGTTAGCGAGCACCAATGAAGTTACATAACACACACACATACACACACACGCACGTGCGTTAACCTCGTTGTTCACATGGCACCCACAGCTAGGCTACCCACAACAATTACAATAACAACATCACGTTATATAACATCACAAAACGAGAATATTCATACATTTAGTCCAACGGATTATGGGCCTTTCGGAACATTTAAACATCACCGGCTTATACCAATTAGTAGATTGACTCTCGTATAACAGTTGTCTAGGATATTGCTCAACAACCATTGAAGTGAGCGATCGTCACGCTATTTAGTGGCGCTAAATTACAATAGGGGTGATGGGGATTGTTTGACCATACTTCAACACTCTTGCAATGCGCGTGGATGAATAGGGGGGGGGGGGGTGGGTGGTGGTTACGGGCCAAGGACCAGTTCAGATCTGACTCGCCACTGATTGTGAGCTAATACGTCCGGGAAACCGAACTATTGCGGCCGGTTTCATAGCGCGGTGCGCTAACCACTACGCCACCGCCACTCTGAACATTAAGTCTGCTTACTCACCCCTCGCTATCAAAGTTTCGCTAAATCCGCCACCTTGAGCGGCGCAACGGGGCCACGTGCGTCAAACAAACGCAGGCAACACTCCGACCACTTGCAAGGGCACAAAGCACGGAGCCGAGCTGCGACTCATGGAAAAACCAAACCATGCCAACGGACAGCAGCGACAAAACAACAACAAATACGACCATCACCACCAGCAATCAACGAGAGCGATGAGCAAATAGATTGATGGGAGCGGGGTTTGTAATGAAATACACACGTGGCAAGCCCAGCGCACCTTCAGCAGCCTGCAAGACGCTCACTTCGAGACCCTTAAACGTTTTGCTCGCCAACTCCTCCAGCGCGCACAGCGGGGACGACTGCGTGGCCTGCACCGTGCACGGTCGGACTAGGGTCGCTCCGTGACCACCGGCGTGGTGTCCTCCGCCGCCTCCACCACCACCGCCTCCTCCTCCTCCACCACCACCGCCTCCTCCACCACCACCACCGCCTCCTCCACCACCACCGCCGTGCCCAACCATAGGCCCCGCTCCCTTCTCGGCTCCCAGCGCCGCCGCCGCTGCCGCCGCCGCCGCAGCGGAAGCTCTGGCAGCGCACACGGCGAATCCGCGACGCCGCACAGATGGCTTGCTGAGGATGTCCTCGATGCTGAAGGGAGTCAGGGGCTTGTTGGAGTTGGCCGGCGGCGGGAGGTGGTCGAGCGGTGAGCGGCCCCGCTCCCGTTCCTCCATGGCGCGCGGGAGACCCTGGTTGGGTTTCGGCTTCTGGAAGGCGGTCGTCATCGATGGTCCGTGATGGTAGCGGTCGTGGCTGTAGTCGAGGTGGTGTTCGTGGCGGTGGCTGTGACCGCGGTGATCGTCGCCGCGGTTCTGCGGGCGCCGCGCAGCGAGAGTCTCTCCAAAGCAAAACAAAAACGAATGACCCCCCCCACCTCCTCCACCCGGGGCCCCGGCCAGAATAGAAGTAGATCAAATAATGGACGCGAAATCTACCGCCGCGCTTGGTGGCGACGCGACGAAAAAAAAACTTCGAATTCCGCACGACGCAAGCGGAACGATGTCAGAAGCGCGACGTGCGGCAGTGACCTTCGTGCCTCGGCGAGGTTACTTCTCCTTCTTCTTGTTATTGTGATTCGTCTTTATTTACGATCGCCGCCTTATTTCATTATTTTTATCCAGACGCGAATCTCTCATTTGCTTGGCGCGTGACGCTCCTCCGTCGCGGCTTCTCTACGGCCGTGCTCGCTGTGGCGGCGACAGCAGCAGCAGCAGCAGCGGCGGCGGCGGCGGCGGCACGAGACGGCGGCTCGGGATGAGGTCTCGCCGCGTCTTCCGCCACTCGCGACGCCGCCTTCGAGTCAAGCCGAGCGCCGTCAAAAAACACTCAGCTGCGTAAAAAGGAGCCGAGGCACTTTCGCGCTCTCTCTCTCTCTCCCCACCACAGCCGTCCCCCCACCACCACCACCTCTACTACCTCCTCCTCCTCCCTGCCGCTCCCCCCGTACTCCCCGGAGGCAAGCAACGGCGTTAAGAAACTCCCCGGCCGGCCACAGAGCGTCCGGTCAACAGCAAAAAAAAAATAAAAGCTGCGTCTGGCAGTCGAAGTGTGGCAGCAGGGTCGGCAACCCGCGTCGCGTTCCGTGAGCTGCACGATCTTGCCTCCTCCTTCTTCTCCTGCTCCGCCGCCGCGGCCTCTCGCTCTCCCTCCTCAGCTGTCTCTTCTCGCTAAGCAGACGCCGGGCTCCGGCACGCGTGAGCAACGCACGCGAGGAGGCGAGCGGTCAAAAGCAGCCTGTGTCAGGCCAAGGATGCCGACGGGAGAGATGAAGGCGGCGCGGTGACCGTGGAGGAGTTAAAAAGAGCCGAGGCAGCGGCCGTGTTGACGCCCGCGTTGCTAAAAAAAAAAGTTTTCCGTTGGTTGGTCGGTAATCAATTATCGGGACCGCCACATATGCGCGGCCAGCCCTTCCTCCAATGCTGAGGGGCCCCAGTCAGCGCGAAGATTAATTAATTGAGGCGAGGGGGAGGGTGGGGTACAGGGGAGGGGAGCGGTGGGGATGGGTGGGTGTGGGTGGAGTCTGGGAGTAGTTGTGGAGTGCGTGGTGGTGGTGGTGGTGGCGGTGTGTGTGTGTGTGGCGGAGGGGGGGGTTATGTGGGTGGAGATGGGGCAGTCTGTTTGGGGCATTGCGAGGTTTAGGAGCGACATGGTGGCAAAAGATGTTCGTGGTAGGAGGTGGGGTGGGAGGCGGTGTAGGAATGGGGGGGGGGGGTGTTAAGTGTGGCGTTAGAAGGGAGGTGTGTACTTGGGGATGGGATGTTAAGAAGCGGTTGAACAGGGGAGGGGGGAGTGGAGGAGGGGAGGGGGGATAATTAAAGCTTACTTCACAAAAAATGACTTTCTCAAAGATATGAAATCTATAAAGAATTCCCGGGCACCGCATTCCTCGCCGCGGGTTAATGTGGCTTTAATTTCGTCTTGTCCGCTTGATGAAATGCCGTGTTGATGTGAGGAAGCAGTGCAGAGAGAGAGAGAAGGAGGAGGAGGAGGAGGGGGGGGCCGAAGGCGTCGCGAACGAGAGTTTCCATCAGCGTCTTAATCGGGACGGCTCCCCAACCTTTGGCGCTGCGTTCGCTCTCTGGGCCGAGTTCACAACCACGACGACGACGATGACGAGGAGGAGGAGGAGAGGGAACCTACGTGAGTCACGTCACGTGACACACGCGCGCGCGCACACGACAGTGTTACATTATCTCTCGTGGGTTTGTCGACGTCCGCGATAACGCGCGTGAGTTCGTGGTATTTAATGGCATCCTTTCGTTTGCATCGTTTCCGTCGCATTGCGAGTTATATTTTGTACGTTGGGAGTAATGGACACCACGCTTGCAAAATTCCATATCAAAATAGTAGTTTGCACAGTCGGTCCATCTATATATATATCGCGTGACTATGTCGTGTCTGGTTAAAATAATATTCATATTGTTTGTATTATTATTATTGCTATTATGATGCAGATATTTATACATTCGGCACCGAGCCAAAAATGCATATACGCAATCGCGATTAATTTGGTGTAAAATAGTTGTGACGAACGCACATATGTACACACACGAACACATATGTACACACACACTCCGACACATGCACACACGCGCGCACACACATACACACACACACAGGTGTGCACACACGAACGAACACATGTACACACACGCGCGCACACACATGCACACACACAGGTGTGCACACACGCACACACATGCACACACACGCGCGCGCACACATATGCACACACACATGCACACACGCACGCACACGCGCACACACGCCCACACGCTGATTCCTAATTGCGCCGCATTAATTATTAAGCAGGGTTCTGAAATAAATCTGAAGTTATGTTCGGATAATAATTTTATACAATACCTAGGGTACTTATTCGTAAGGTAATTGCGGTAAATTTCAGACACAGACGTGCACAGTCGTGCACGTACACGTACATACATAATACATACACGAACTGGCATTAAAAAAATGCAAGGCAAAGATGTCTCCTTTATGGTTTTCATAGACTATTGCACGCACACACGTTTAAGATCACACACACATACACCCCCCATCACGCGCATATACTCTTTACGACTAATTACACAATCGTCCACCCATGTTCACACCCGCAAATACATACACTGAGCACACAATCACACACACGCGCACTTAAAAAGACAAAGATCCCCCGTGTAGCCGCAACACTATTTTGGGGAAAGTGCTGATATCCACGCACATATGTGCAAGTGCATACACACATGAACTTACACACAAGTACACCACCGACAAGCATGAGCATATCCTCACACAAGTACATATATATATATACACACACACATACGTATTTACGCATGCATACATACACAAATGCATACACTCAAACAAAATCAAATACACACACCCAAATATATATGCATGAACTTACACGCAAACACACACGCACACCTACATATACGGTAAATAAAAACACTCATACATACATACAAACATACAAACATAATCATACAAAGTTCCCCGGTATAGCCTTAACAGACTGTTGGGGCAAGTGCTGTTAGCGAGCACCTATGAAGGCCTGCACGACACACGAAGGGGTGGGTTGGCCAGCCACCACCCACGATGTTTACACATCATTTGAGGCTGAGTCGACCTAGGGGAGGCCAAGGACCGGGTCAGATCATCGTCACTGGTGTTGTTCGTGAGTGGGAATCGAACTCGTGTTGCCGAGTTCGTAGCGCAGCGCGCTAACCCCTGCACAACCGCTCCCCACAATGATACCCCCTGTAGCCTTAACGCACTTTTTTGAGCAAGTGCTGTTAGCCAGCAACGCACACACATGCACACATCACGGTCCCGCCCATCTGATTAATTTCTGCACGTGTGTGTGTGCGTGTGTGTTACTTACTAACGCGGTGATAATTAGAAACATCGAGCATTAATTGGCGTCACTCAAGGGGCCATTCACCACGTGCGCGTGTGAGCCGACACGGACTAAACAGCCGGCAAAATCCGCCAGTCTCCCCACATGACAGTCTTACAACCGCGTGGGTGACGTTGAATGCAAATATTTCGGTCAACAAAGAAGCACGTTGCGTTTCAAACATTTGTTTATATACGTTGTATAATTGCGAATATTTTTTTGGAGCAGATGAGAGCCCGTAATTGAATCAACATTTATAGTCTGCATATTTAATACGTACATTTACACATTCACTTGTGTGTCTATAATTGAGTTCATTATTGGCTTTTTGGCTGGTCATCGAACAAAGACGGCCACTGCATCGCGCGCTTTCAGATGCGCTTCTGCGGCAATCTGGAACGCTCTTCCGATTTTACTTTTAAATCATCTACATTGACATATTTTTTTAGAACAGTTGTTATGTGTGTTTAGTTTGTTGTCCTTCCCCCGCACCTCCGATTAGCATGGTTGGTTACGTACGGTGCGAAAGAAGTTCAACATGCATTGGTTGGAGCGGTGGCGTAGTGGTTATCGCACCGCGCTATGAGCCCGGCGAACCTGAGTTCGGTTTCCAACGGGGGCGTGACATTTGGCATCGCTTGCTTCACCAATCCGCAATGACCAGCGTGGTGAAGTATGGTCAAACGAACGTCGTGACTGACACGGCGTGGGAAGACCACCGTGATGTAATCTTGGACGACAAATAACGACCTTCATAATAAACGATTTTGCGTTTATATCGCGTTATTTATAAATGTGTCGTAACCCTCCACCACCCGACACGGCCAATCAGTAAAAAGGTGTCACGTTGACAAAAGACAAAATAGTTCACTGCTTTAGCCCACCGGTGTGTTGAAGCGTGAAACCACAATATTTACATTTTTTGAGTACGACGTTTCGCTGGTAATTGCATCCAGCATCATCGGGCAATTCGCCAGAATGGTGAGGCTCTGCTGGATGCAATTACCAGCGAAACGTCGTACTACCCAAAAATTGTAAATGTTGTGGTTTCACGCTTCAACACACCGGTGGGCTAAAGCAGTGAACTATTTGTCTTTTGTCAACGTGACACTTTTTTACTGATTGGTCGTGTCGGGTGGTGGAGGGTTACGACACATTTATAAATAACGCGATCTAAACCCAAAAACGTTGATTATGAATAATATTGGTCGCGAAAGCCTTCCACGTGTTAAACTGAAATAACGACCTGTGCGTGGTGCATGCACGTTCGTCGAAGACAGACGCTCATGCGTCCATTTCACTCGGCAAGGTCGCGTTACATTTTAAATAATGAACGCGTAGCGGCACATCAATTGGGTGCTCCAGATGTTATCTTAATGCTCACGACGTAATAGAAAAATCAAGACTTGCCTTGCGTTATCAATCCGATATTTTCCGTAAAAGCTGCACGCTCTGCTGGTGTGGACTTGGGGCATTATCGGCGCAAGGCACTACCACTCCAGTGGTAGTGGTAGTGCCTTACGCCGATAATACAGGCAAAACGAGGCGAGGTGGATGTGACGTGCCGGCATCGTTCCCGGGAGAGCGTTCACAGCGGACCGTCCCGGCTGAAATCACGCATTTCAATCTACAATATCACCACGCTCGCACACGCGTACATGCCCTACACATGGACCACACATGCACCACACATGCACCACACATGCACCACACATGCACCACACATGCACCACACATGCACCACACACGCACCACACATGCGCCACACATGCACCACACATGCACTACACATGCACCACACATGCGCCACACATGCACCACACATGCACCACACATGCACGTGAGAACACGAGGACTCGGGCGGCCTTCTCGAAGCGAGACGAGCGAAAGTAGCGGCGCGATAAATAAACCCGCACAGTGAACGAGGAAATAGTTTTTTTCCCGGCGTCTAAAAGCGGTCTCCGGGAGCG